ATCTATCTATCTATCTATCTATCTATCTATCTATCTATCTATCTATCCAACTCTGATTCCATCCATGCATCCCTTTCAAGGCAATCTTGACTTCTGGCAACTGGGTTGAAATCTAACCATCTTTAAAATTGGGAAGATTGAGTAACCATGGTCTACAGGGATTTCTCTAAATGGAGAAGAGGAAGAATCCGCAGGTCAGCCCTCTGGCAACACAACCATGAAAGCTGATTTCACAATTGCAGAAATTAAACGTAATATGGTACAAATTTTGAAACACCAAAAGTTTTAGTACAGGAAAACGTTGCAAATAGGTTACATATTTCTCCTATCCTCTTTTTTTGTTTGTTTGTTTGATTTTGTTGAGACCATCACTAATTCTAGCCCTGCAGCCAGCTAAATGACAACAAGCAAATTTATGGGATAATTAAAGGTTTCTCTGTTGTAATTATACGAGTTCCTTTGACAGTGCTGTGTTTGGAGGAAGCTGGAGCTGATAAATGAGCCATCAGATGAATCATGATTTAATGCCTGATCATTAAGGTTATTATCCCTCCTCTTAGCATTATATCAGCTTTGTTTATAGTGGATGGGTTATCTAGGATAGGGGAAAATAAGACAGCATAATCTTTGCTCTTGACGACGCCATCAAAAGCAAAATAAATTAATTCCAAAAGATATCAACTCTTGCTCAGAAAGTAGTGGCCTCACTTTGAATTGATTTCTTCTTCCTTATGGGATATTACCACATCACCAAATGTTAGATCTTCTAGTCCTGAGGTTAGGCTTTGGGCCTTTTTTTGCTTGCTTGCTTGCTCTTTCAGGACCATTTTATTATTTTTTTCAACTTGGTTGCTGCAAAATTCAGAGGTAGCTACTGAAAGAGGACATCACCCTTCGAAGAGAAGGACTAGGGGAGACATGCTAGTAGTGTTCCAATATTTGAGGGGCTGCCCCAGAGAGGAAGAAGGGGTCAAGCTATTCTCCAAAGCACCTGAAGGCCAGACAAGGTATAATGGATGGAAACTAAACAAGGAGAGATTCAACCTGGAAATAAGGAGAAACTTTCTGACAGTAACAACAATAGACAGAAGTTGACCTTAGAAGTTGTGGGAGCTTCATCACTTGAGACTTTCAAGAAGAGATTGGGCTGCCATCTGTCAGAAATGGTGTAGGGTCTCCTGCTTGGGTGGGGGGTTGGACTAGATGACCTACAAAGTCCCTTCCAACTCTGACCAACCATTGGCTATGAAAAGCGCCGTGCAGAGCTGAACTCCCAGCATTCTTAGCAACTCAAGCTAAGCTAGAGAACTCTGGCAATCACCTGTAGTTCCATTTGTAAACTGCTGAGAGTCATTTAGCAAGATGGCCCAAGGCATGTAGGACATTAAAAACTTCCTAGATATTCCACCAAAATGTTTCTTCTCCCTGAACACCGCCCCCGCCCCCCAAATCATAATGTTTAGAGTAGTGTGGAATATAAAAAAAATTGCAATAGCAGCTTCAATCTTCACGGAAACGAAAACACCTTGAAGTAATATGCCCTGCAACATTCATTTTTGAAGGGTAGAAAAAGCCAACCCCAAAATGTAAGAGGGCATTGCAAAATGTTTTACAGCTTACAGCACTAATTTTCAAAATCACCTCTGTGATTTTATCCACTAAAAGATGGAAGTGCCAGGAAATTTTCAGTAATAGCATTTTCTGGGCATTTTGATCACTGGTGTTAATTTGCAAATCAAATCAGCCATGGAGGTAATACATTTCTACCTCGACCTTTATAATATTACTTTCTGGCATTGCTGGAAAAAAGTTTTTCCCCTCGAAGGAGAAGGAATCCGAATGTTCACCCCTTAAACCTTTTTTTTTTTTGCATGCCTGCATATATTTTTAACTACAACTTACCTCAGCTTACAACAATTCATTCAGTGGCCGTTCAAGGTTACAACAGTACTGAAAAAAATGTGACTTATGACCATTTTTTGCAGTTACGACCGTTGTAACCTCCCCATGGTCACATGATCCAAATTCAGATGCTTGGTAACTGGTTCATACTTATGATGGTTGCTGTGTCCCAAGGTCACGTGATGCTCTTACCAAGACTTCCTAGACCATAACTACGCACACGCTTATTTTAAAAACAAGACTTCTTTTATTGCAACACTGGGAATTGTTTTCATTACCAGCTGGTAATGAATCTCAAACAGTCCCCCGAGATAAGCACCCACCTTTCAGTTCTGTGAAGCGCTGCCAAAAACAGAAGTATCAAATGAACTAGAAAAGAAACCAACCGAAGTACAAAAAAAGCAACAACAACCAAAGTACACAGAGCTTTAAGGATGACTTTGAACCGATAAAACTACTTTGCTTCCTGCAAAGGTTTCATCATCTTGGCCTGTCCTTTATACCTTATGGGAAGGGCAATCACCCCCCAGCCTTACTCCCAAGTTGCTCCTTTTGTCTCAGCTGCTCTCACCTTCTAGCAGCTCTGTGCACACACACACTGGGAACAGGCTCCCCTTACTCCTCGGCCTCACTGCTGCCAGGCTCTGGAGGCTCTGGAGACAGCACCCCACTCCCAGATGGTCCTGGCCCCATCCCTACATCGGACGCAGGACCCTCATCCGAGTCCTCTCCAGACTCCTGGACTGGTCCCCGTTCTTCCCCACTTCCGATTCCACTGCTGGCTGCACTGGCTGCTGGCAAACCACAACACATGATCCCCTTTTGCGACCTTTTGTCAAACAAAGTCAATGGGGAAGCCAGATTCACTTAACAATCAGATTACTAACTTATCAGCTGCAGCAATTCATTTAATAATGGTGGCAATGAAGGTTGTAAAATGGGGCAAAACTCACTTAACAAATATCTCACTTAACGACAGAAAGTTTGGGCTCAATTGTGGTCATAAGTCAAGGACTACCTGCATTGTTTTGATTCCCTGAAGAAGCAGCGAACTTGTCCCCCCCCCAAAAAAAAACAAAACAAAACAAAAAAAACCCCTAGGACTAAGGAGAAATTTCCTGATAGTGAGAACAATTAATCAGTGGAACAACTTGCCTCCAGAAATCATAAATGCTCCAACATTGGAAGTTTTTAAGAAGAGTTTGGACAATCATTTGTCTGAAACGGTGTAGGGTTTCCTGCTTGAGGAAAGGAGGTTGGACTAGAAGACCTCCAAGGTCCCTTCCAACTCTGTTATTCCGTTAAATGGACTTCTGATCTCATAATATGTTGTATCAACCTCCTTCCTGGTGGTCCGTCCCCCTCTTCACTGCATTTCATCACCACAATGCGCAAAAACGCTAGCTTGTTGTGTGCTTGACAGTTTCCACAAGAAAAATGCCATATAGTTAACAGGAAAATGGATATAGGAAGAGAAGTTGCCATTTTTTTGTGTGAATGCTCTTTGTCACCAAACTGCTCCCGGCTTTTCGGAAGGACTTGATTTGCATTACAACATTTGACAAATCTTCAATCACTCTGATTTAATTCAGGGGTCCTCTGAATCCAAGGCAAAATCGACCCATTTATCAGCTTGAATCCCTTCTTCCAGAATAGGAATGTAATTAAAAGAGATAACTAACTCAATAATGAAGGGGAAAAACATTCAGCCTTGTGCTCCACAAAGTCTTTGAAGAGATTCTCTTTATATTTGCAATTCTGAACCGCATACGTTGAGCAACCCAAGCCATCTAAGGTTGCAATCAGAGTTTCTTTTACTTCTTCAGGTTTCATCCCCCATGATGGTGATTATTTTTTAAAAAAAGCCTTACCTTCGTTTACCGTGCAACTGATAGTAATAATTTCAGGTAGCTTTCTAAAATCAAGCAGTCTTCTGAGCATGTAATGAATCAGTAAACGATAGCATCTTTGCCCATAGACAAAATATAATTCTAGTGGATGCATTTGTGTATTTGCTGGTTCATTCTCTGGTAGCATAAACTGATCTAATTCC